CTTACATAAACAAAGACATTGCCAGTGATATGACCAAAGCTGTCTTGGCACAGTACACTCTGGCTAACGCTCAGTTCAAGCCTCCAGTCATAACAAGTCAGAAGAAGATTAGTGAGAGACTGCTAGCCAGTTGGGAAAGAGCAAGAGATATCTCTCTTGGGGAGGGAAAACTTTTGCAGTTAAGGACAGCTTTGCCAAACAACCGGACCAGTTATTTGACATAATTACTTGCAAGTGCTTAATTGTTCTCTTATCCTGAGTTTGGATCACGATGTTGACTGTAAATCCGAAGGCCCACATCTCCTGTATTTGCAAGCGTGGAACTGAAGATTCCTGTGATCGAACTGGCATTTGTCAAAGCACAGAGAGAAGACTGGCAGTATAGGGGCTCTCATGATTTCTAGCCAAGATATTCCGGAGTCCAAGAGACAGGAGGCTGCCACAGAGAGACAGAAGAGGAGAAGAGTTGCCGAGGAGAAGAGACTTGAGAAGGCCCAGGGTGAGGTAAAAAAGGCCGATGATTGGAGTCAAGCTGATTCAGAGTTTAATGACTTCCCCATGGCTGATCGGAGTGCTGACCAGGAGAATGGTGACTTTGTCCCTAGCAGAAAATAATGATCCCAAACCTTCCGACATAAGATTCGAAATAGGAAAGATATATCGAGCACGCTCTGGCCAGCATGCGACACCACACTGGTCTCAGAGAAACTGCAGAGATAGCAACAGCTGCCTGGGTTGACGGTGGTTTGATAACACCTGATGATGTTCACCTGGTGATAGATCATAACAAAGTTAGGAGAGCTCAGGAGAAACTTGTCAGTAACCTAGAAGAGGAGTTTGATAAAGGGATAAGAGAAAATGGAATCAATTGTTTGTTCTTTGATGGGAGAAGGGATGACACTAAAGTGTTCATGAAAGTTGGAGATTCTGACAAGTTGTTCCTTGCCATGGTGAAGGAGGAACACTACTCCTGCTGCAGTGAACCAGGAGGGAAGTATTTGTGGCATTTCACTCCAGAGAAAGATGACATCAGGAAACCAGCTGAGATAGTGGCAGATAACATTGTGAACTGGCTCAGAGAGAGGAACGTAAACCAGACCCTGCAGGCCATTGGAGGGGACAGCACCAACACGAACACAGGGTGGCAAGGGGGGTCATACAGTGGATAGAGCGGAAGATTGGGAGGAAGCTGGTCTGGATTGTTTGTGACCTCCACACCAACGAGTTGCCACTCAGACATCTGATCCAGGAGCTGGATGGCAAGACTCTTTCAAACAACAGATGGTCTGGTCCTCTTGGCAAGATGCTGGACTCTGCCACTGAGTTAGAAATAAATCCGAGCTTTGAAAAATCACAGTTCAGCTCCACTGCTACGTTGAGCTTGCACATACTGTGGTGGCAGAAGCCTGAGTACTGACCCAGTACTATGGTTACATGATTTGCAGTGCCATCAAAACTGGGGTCATGCCTGATGAACTATACCTGCAGAATGGGTCCAGTCTCATTCTAGGTAGCTCCTGGCTCAGGTTCTGCAGAATTTGGGTCGCTCATCATAAACTGAAAGGGAACCAGCTTCACAACCTGAGACTTATTGTCCAATTCATCGTGAGTGTCTAATTGCCAAATTGGTTCAACACCAAGGTCAAGTCATCGTTCTCCGAAGGTCAGAGGCATGTTCTCTTCCAGCTTGAGCTCCTGAGGAGTCAGCCAAGGAAGGTTGTTCAGATTGTGCAGCAGACTGTGATGAGATCTTTCTGGTATGCTCATCCCGAAGCAGTTCTGCAGACAATGCTCTGCAGTAAGGATGAGGAGGAGAGAAGAGTGGCAGTCAAAAAGATCTTGGATATGAGACTTATGAGAGGATCTGGGCATGATGAATCAGTTGGTGACGATTCCTTCAGGGTCAGGAAGACTCCTGAAGTCAATCTAGGTGCCAAGACCCTCACTGATCTCATAGATCTGGATAACATCCAGGCTGGCAGTGAGCCCCCTCTTACCTGCAGCCTCACCAATGTTCAAATCAGAGCTTTCCTGGACAACCCCATGCATGTCCCTGCCTGGCCCTCGCACACCCAGAGTATAGAGCGTTGTGTACAGCAAGTGAGTGAGGCCAGCAGTCACGTGTACAGCAAGGAGAGGAGGGAAGGCTACATCCGAGCTCAGGTGGTCAGCAGGGAGGTGGTGAGTAGAAACAGAAGCAAGAAAGACATGTTCTCTATGGTGTGCAGCAACACCGGGTCGTAGTAGTAAAACCGGTTTTTGTATTTGATGATTTTGTTTTCTAAAGGAATATTAAATTTAATAAATGTGTCAAGATCATTCGTTTCACTATTCTGGATCATTTTCATTCTAATAAATTAACCTGATACATTTACTTTACTTTAAATAAGCTATTTAGTGGTGTTGGTAAAGGGGTGGGAATACTAAATTTTCATAAGATTTCAAGTTAAAATTTACCTAGCAAAAAATGAAAACTTTTCAAATCTGAAGATATCACATGATTCTACACATAGAACTACATCATTACTACCATGGGCCGATTTTTCAAACTAAAAAAAAAAAATTCGCCTCCTTATGACACACCCTACTCATAGATGGTGTTACGAGGGGCCTCACGTGGTGTAGTAACTCCCTCACAGTGGTGTTATGAGGGGCATCACGTGGTGTACGAATTCCCTCACAGATGGTTTTATGAGGGACCTGACGTGGTGTAGTAATTCCCTCACAGATGGTGTTATGAGGGGCCTGACGTGGTGTAGTAATTCCCTCACAGATGGTGTTATGAGGTACCTGACGTGGTGTAGTAATTCCCTCACAGATGGTGTTATGAGGGGCATCATGTGGTGTAGTAATTCCCTCACAGATGGTGTTATGAGGGACCTCACATGGTGTAGTAATTCCCTCACAGATGGCGTTATGAGGGACTTGACGTGGTGTAGTAACTCCCTCACAGATGGTGTTATGAGGGGCATCACGTGGTGTAGTAATTCCCTCACAGATGGTGTTATGAGGGACTTGACGGGGTGTAGTAATTCCCTCACAGATGGTGTTATATGAGTGAGGTGTGGCCCCAGGCCTTCCTATCGTAGACGGATTAACACATCGCCGGTTGTTGGGTCTCACGGGCCGTTATCACTGGGTACCTGGGACCTCACTGTGTGAAGGTTAACTTGAATACGACTTTTACTGTTGAGTTGTTCTCACTGACTTAAGCACTGTTCACCAATGTTCACCTCTGTTTAACACTGGTTCCATTCCTTTCCCAAATGAAATTGTAACTTCTGGCGAGAACCTGTTGATACTCCGGTGGGGAGAAGTGGTTCAGGGGAGGGGGTTGGTATGGGCCAACTTAACAGTTGACCTGGCTGCTCCGAAAGGAGCGCCAGATACGTCTTGACCCTTCGGTGGTCAAGGATGTAGTATGTATGTATGTATGTGTGTATATATATATATATATATATATATATATATATATATATATATATATATATATATATATATACCAGACCCGACTTACGACGGGTTAGGACCCAAATCCAGGTCGTAAGTCCCATTACAGATATATAAAAAAATAAAAAAAAAATTAATAAAAATCTACAATGAAATACAGTACAGTAAAAGTAATGAATAATGATGAATGGATACAGTACAGGAAAAGTAATAAATAATAAGGAATGATATGTGACTGAGCACTAACCTTTAATGTAGTCAGCTGAATGCACATAGGACCCTCTATAATTTCCTAATTATACATGGAGACTACATTAATTGAAACGCTGCATAGAAAATGCGTGTCATTTAAAAAAATTTTTATTTATTTATTTTTTTATTTATATCTGAGGGCGTCGTAGTCTGAAGTCGAAGTCGGGGTCAGGGTGTGTGTGTGTGTGTGTATATTATGTTATATATATATATATATATATATATATATATATTACCTTCAATTAACGCCGTTTCAATTAGCGCTTTTTCATATCTGCTGTGCCTCGCCAGAGCTGAACTTTCCTACTTAACACGATTTTTTCCACATATACGCTGTGAGTGTCCGCTCGAGACGCTATTTTTAGATTTGCCCAACCGCCACCCTGCCTGACTGCCTGTTTTAGCTCATAAAATTCATACAAATTACCCTGCCAGAATATAATTTCCATTGCTGGAATTCTTATAATTTGGTGATCATTTTGAATATACATCATATATTTTGCATTAGAAATACAAATTTTAGATAAAATGTTTTCCTGAGTAAATATGTTATCTTTTGTGCAAAATATATGACATTTATATTCAAAATATTCCTTGGTCGGAATTCAGCAATGTCAATTGTATATCTTTAATTTTGAATTTAGTGGTTTTCCAAAAATTTCAGAGAGGGCCAAGCAATGCAGTGTGAGAAGAGGAGGGAGTTGAGTCCATATTTTAGACATTAACTCTTGCGACTATATTTCATTCTCTTAAGTATTAATTGTGTGCATGTACCATCATAAAATTAAGATGTTATTTTACTACAACATAGTTATGTGTTCTGAGTCGGGGTCGGGCTGGTTTCATTGGAATTAATCCATATGTTCTGTTGTTCACTTAACGCGATTTCACTTAACGGACCCTCTGGGTTCTATTGACACAAGTAGGATAACTGTATATATATATATATATATATATATATATATATATATATATATATATATATATATATATATATATATATATATATAACCCAGAAGCAACTCAATTTACAGGGAGTGAAAGAGGCTTATATACAATGGGTGACTTTTACATAACATCAGGTCAGGTCAATAACATGGGCTCTACTAATCCACACACCACCTCTACCACAAACAAAAGAATAGCTTATAAAAACTGGGGGACATAACAAGTCAGGTTAAAAACATGAGACCCACTAATCATCTACCCTACATCCACCTCAAATGCTTTCAAAGCATTTTTAACCTTAGGCCACTGACAAATAAATTGATGTAACATATAATCAGCTTTGTACTGACCATCACTGAGGTTTATGAAGTCCGTAGATCACTGGCAATACTTATGGCATTAATCACCTGCTGCGTTATGTTAGGTACAATTTGACCACTCTGCTGTAGGTCCACAATCTCACTGAAGGCTGATGCTGACAGAGGGCTGTTAAGGAGGTAAACATTTGAATATTAGTAACTAGATTATGTTACACTTTATGTCAATAAAAGTTCAGAGAACCTGACGAGAGAGACTGCAAGAGACCCACGGAGAGCTACCGTCGGGTAATCACGGCTAACCCGTTCAATTGTGGAAAATGGCAGAAAAATGCTGTTGCTCAAAATGGCAGTGACTTATCGAGCAAAAGTATTACATCAATTTACTGGACAAACACTCAGGCAGGCTTATTCTACATAAAAAAAAGACCATCCTCATTGAGAACAAGAAGCTTATACGTACAATATTTCTTTTAATATCAATCTGAGATGGTCACACACAACTATGAAATGGAACAAACTAAGAAACAAATCTACATAATTCTGTGATATTGAACAAATGTTTTACATCTAAGGGTGTTTAAAATGACATTATTTAGGAACTTGAGCCATCCTGGATAGTGAACAGACACACATTTGAAAGTGGATCATTCAAAGGTTTTTTACTTACTAAACACAAGCAACAATGTACAGTGTTCTGGTATACCATAAAAAAAGTTGCTCATGTCGTAGTCAACACACCTACCGGGTACATCAACAGCTACAGTAATACTGCATCATGGTTGCACATGTTAACCAGCAACTTGTGCCAATTTTTCTGTAAATGCTTTCTTACCTCATGAAAAGCCTAAAAATGGGAAGGGATAAGTTGGATGTTTTTCACCTTGATTTTACCTGGTGATTTAAAATTAAAGCTCCTCCTCGTTTACCATTGTCAAAATCCCTAAACACTGAAACTCATTAATAAAGTCTCTGCTAATTGTGTGGAAAAGTGATGCACAGATTTTTATCATCACTTATTTTCCCAGAGTCAACAGCATTAAAGGAACCACTGCCATCACCTCCAGCTCCTGGGAGTTACTGGAGTGAGCTAGTGTCATCACCAGAGGTCCAGGAAATCTCCTCAGAGTGTGACAAGTCACCTCCATCCTCCCCAATGTAACCAGTCATCACCCACACCAACTAACAGTAAGCAAAGCAACAACAGTTGTATGGACACCTTTATTGTAGGTGAAAGTTTAATACTATATAACCAAAGTTTTCTGAGGCAGTTCTTGTGCTGTGCTGTGCTGAAGTGTAAGGTGCTGCACAGTAGACACTTGCCATTGAACCCCCCAAAAATTTTTTATATATATATGTAACCGGTCGGAATATACGGGACTTTAGTTTCTCACTTGACTTGGGGTTTATTAAAGATTAATAGATGGTAATGGCAGTGGAAGCGCCCCTTTGAGAAAAATCCCGAACCAGCACAAGAACACTTAAATCTACTAAACAAAATGAATTGTCCGTGACCCGTGGAAGGATAGCGTCTGTGACTGGGATGAATGAGACACACTGTAAAATTTAGACACTTATATTCCTTCCAACACTACAAACACAATCAAATAATGGTACACCAATATGAGCACCTCTTAACTTGAACTTAAAACACTACTCTGGGGAATAAAAGTTATACATGATATAGAAATTATTAGAAACTCAGGCAACAATAAATTTGAAGTATTAAGAAATGTTGCTTGCACACATTAAACAGGCCTTAAGGGCTTTCAACAAAATAATATCCAGCACTGAGAAAATGGTATCAAAAAAATAAGAAATTAAATACTCTACAATGAATAGGCCTAAAGGGCACTCAATATAATTATATTACCCCAACAGATGCACAATTCCTAACCTAACTTAAACACTACTCTGGGGAACAAAGGTTATACCTGAGGTCGGGATTATGACACAAACATTCAAAAAACAATACTATCAAAATTATTTAGGAAATATTAAACTACACACGTCAAGAGTAATATCAGTAACTGAGAAATGGTATTAACTACACCCAAATATATTCACTATTATTGATATGTTACTGGGTCCACCCATACTCGTGAACCATGCTCCACCCAACTCAACATACACCCGTAATAAGGGAGATAAAATGTTCCTCTAGGTACCTCCTAGAGTCCTAGACTCATGGTCTCAATGTGTGACCATTAATTTACTCAGATAGCCTCAGTGTACTCCCAGAGCGTCCATAAAGCGGAAGGGAGTGAGCCAATCAGACGTTGTACAGATGAGAGAAGCTTTAGCTTCCCGTTAGCAAGAGGGTTTCACTAAGCTGCTCGAGACATGTGGTGTTGTGAGCCGAGATAGAGGAGAGCTGATGACCCCCACAATCATCCCGTCGTCAGCTGGGCACCCAGACGGCTAGATTCCCTCAAGAGATCCTTTGATACCCCGCTAAACAGTGACAGGCCTACACTGATCGGTCCAATGGCGACAATCGCCACCCTCAATCATCAACGGCAGTCTCAAACGGCAGTCAATCTCTCGCAGTCAAACTCCGGTCAAGTGGGTTCTGACGGAAACCCTGAAATGAGCTCACTGTTAGCTCTTGTTAACTTTACCACTGCCCTATCTAACTCTGTCTGAGATCGAATGAGACTTACTTGTTATACTGCAATAGTGCAACACAGGTGACTAGGCCACGTGACTATTTCTGTGACGGACGCGCAGGGACGTCTTGTTTGTCTGAATGCTTCTCCGTGACTGAGGACCAGCCAGCGTCACGTCCTCTCAAGGCGTTAGCTTAGGCCTACGTGACATATTTTCCGCCTAACTAATAACTCCTTGGGACACCCGTAACATTATTCAGACTGATAAACGATCTATAATAATTTCAAATTCAATAATAGTCCCTTAACTTCATGAATCGCATCATTATTAATTCGGCAAATTACATTTAATATAATATAAGCCTAGTTCCACAACCTCCCACTATGTGCGGGGAGCGCTCTCTTCCCTCAGACGACCTTGAACGTTCAGTATCCCTAATGGCGGGGCATTTGAAATTTCTGAATATTACAATCGACCCCCCTAAAAAAAGACAGCACTGTCCTCATGTGCTGAGAAAAACATACATACGTCCCCCCTAAAAAAAATTTCTAAGAAACTGCATCTTACCCCTTTAACGTGCTAAATGCAGCATTCCCGTCTTCTCCACTTCTCTCTCCCGCTAACATATATATATATATATACACCTAGACCCCGACTTACGACTATATGGACTTACGTCCATTGGTACTTAACGACCTGCTTTGACTGTACGTCCATACGGGACATTACCACGATCAAGTAATCGCCGCGGACTAAAAATTTTCAAATGATCGCCAAAAGATTTTCTATAATCAAACGCTCGGCCCCGGCGAGAGGGAGGGGTGGTTTGGGTTCCGCACCCACCAAAGCAGCTTCGCTCAAAAGCCGCCACCTGAACCTCATACTGATCGGGCCAGAACTTTCGTTATTATTGTATTTAATTGACTTTATAATGACTGGAAGTTTAAAGCGCAGCGAAGCCAAGCGCGCCCCATGGTTACGCCCGTTCTCTAGATACCAAAACCCACAGGCAACCGTCGCTTACAACGAAAATAGTAGTAACGATTCAATGCTTAATTCAGGTTTCTCATTAATTCCCATCATATCCACTATTCTGAAGGACAAGGAACGATTCGGTGAAGTAGTGAAAGGAACAACACCTATAAAGGAACTATAATAACAAAGAAAAAGACAAGGTCCTATCCACATATAGTGGAAAACCTGTCGTTGCTATGGATAGAAGACCAGATGCAGAAGCTGCAGGCCTTGGTAAATTTAAATCATTAGTTTGCCGGTGCCCGTTCCAAAGCTCAAGTTTTACGCCATGAGACAACTTGATCAAACCCTACAGGAAGTCAAGGGTGGTTTGATGATACCGCAATACAGTGTTATAGGAGTGGAGGAGCGTTAGTGCCGATGTTGGTGCTGCCGGCTTTTGGCGATGAGCCGCATTTTATCGCAAGGGAACACCGCGGCTTGAATGAAGAACGGACGTCCCTGGAACCGGACATATGTTTCATCCGCGTTTTTCCTGATCTAAGGTATTCAAGCGACAGAATTACACTTCTGTTGGGGGGGGAATGTTGCTGGTTTCAAGCCAAAGCCCTTCGCGATCTATAAACAGTCCCCATGAAACCCGCGCCGAAACACGTCGTTTTTCCTGTTTGAAAATAAGAAAGCCTGGATAGACCTAGTAATTACTTGAGGTTTGGTTCATGACTTGTTTTATTCACTTGTGCCAAGGAGTATTGTTCGCGCAACAAAGGATTCCATTCAAGATTTACTGATTTTGGATAATGCCCGCATACCCACCACACCTGGACGACATGCACTCGATGTTAAGGTAGTGTACATGCCACCTAACACTACCTCTACTCCCATCCCAAACCCGCATGGACTGTTGGGTAAGTATTTCTGCTTTTGTGCTTTATTTAGGTCTACATCTACCTTCGCTTCAGGCTATGTTGTTGCTACTGAAGGTGGCAAAGTCCTACCAGCCCTTTTATACAACATTTTGTCATGTATAAAGAACATTAGTGCAGCATGGGACTAGTTACAAAAACATTGTAATAATGGAATATGGAAGAAACTGAAAAGATATGTGAACAGTTTCCAAAGGATTTAATGAAAGTGGAAGCTATTTTATTAGTAACAAGATAGGTGGAGTGAGGTAAACAGCTGGAGTTAGAAATTGATACCATGATGTTGGACAGTTGGTTGAAAGTGTAGCAGAAGAGCTCAGTACCCAGGATCTTATTGAACTAGATGAACAGAAAGTTGCAGAGGAAGAAGAGAGACAAAATGTAGAAGAAGAGCCTGTGTGACCCCTTGTAAAGTTTTCCTCATGTCACGCCAGAGTATTTGTTAATTTAGTAAAGCAATGCAAATGTTTGATGACATGGATCAAAAATTATGAGAGCTATGCCAAAGTTGACAGAATGATCCAAGATTCACTTGCTTGCTACAGAGAAATTTATAATGAAAAGAAAAAAGAAAAACTGTGTGTCTAAATTGGACACCTATTTCAAGAAGTCCCCAGTACTGGCTCCTCACGTCACAGTGCTGCCTCTTTCAATTTCT